GACCATACATCTATGATATAGACAAAACCACAAAACCTGTACAATCTATATAAAAATGTTTTTTAGTGTGGATGTGGGTGTGGTGTATTATCATGTGCTTAGGTCATATTCATGACAATATGTAGTGAAGTGGTTGATGTAGATGAAATTATTTTCCTTATGTTCGTTGAATGTATATGGGTTGCATCATAGGTATGGGTGCCCTTCTGCCGAAAACATAACATTGAGCCTAGGAATCCAGACAGTTATTTCAGCCAGAAAACAGATCCAACCAAGAACAAGAAGCGACCTGATTTTGTTAAAGACCGCCGCTGGATCAAGAGGGAGTATGATGAGTTCAAGGTCAGGATAAATGGCCTACCAGAAGTTATAAGAAAGCGATGTGAATCATACAACAAAAAAGAGGAAATGAAGGCGAAGAGACTTGCTAAGGAGAAGAATGGTGGAGTGCTGCCAGCGGAGGAGGTCAAGGTAGCAAAGGCGACATGGATGGCAGACGGAACACACTGGCCAGGCACATGGTTCTCGCCGACAGCTGATCACAAGAAGGGAGACCATGCCGGGATTCTTCAGGTGATAATTCCTAAAAAATTTCCTCCTTCAGTTTTCTTAGATTTTTCACTTACAAGGCAAACTCAGATGTAATGTTTTGAATGGTAAACTATAAATTACAGTGGTTTAATTAATCCAATTACGCATTACCTTTTCTATACTTCAGAAATTCACACATTACAACCTTGTGGATTTGGACTAAACTAGAGCCATTACAAATTCCTTAAAAATTAATGTTAAAAGGTCAAAGTCAATATTTTTACTAAAATATCAAGTCAAAATGACAATATATGCATCAAATAGATTTTTCAGATTGTGTAGAATTAGTAGTATGATATAAAGATAAAGAGTATTGTTTTATTAATATTGAATTGCTATATCCATTAGCAATTGCATTTCAGTTCAAAATCACAGGTTACGTGTAGGTTTCTAAAACAGGGGGAGGTAAAATGGCACAGATTCAAATAGTGACGAGGCAAAATTTAGTTTTCCATTTTGTTAGCAAAATCATGAAATCCTCCTGTTCAATAATTTCTGAACTGTTTCAAATGCCTATTTATAAAAGGGGAGAAATATTTCTTTTTTTTCCATCGCTTGGTGTATCCCATTCTTGGGTTTATCCTGAAGATTCTATAAAATTTTCTTTTTTGGAAACTTTGTTAAAATCACTTGGATTTCAAACTTTTGGAACATGCTGGTTAATTAATTCCCCAAAGTTGAATTTGTAACCATCCAGATAATGAGCAAGGTGCCAGAAAGTGATCCAGTAATGGGGCATCCAGATGAGAAGAAGCTAGATTTCACTGGTATAGACATCCGGATTCCAATGTTTGCCTATGTTTCACGTGAAAAAAGGCCTGGTTATGACCACAACAAGAAGGCTGGCGCCATGAATGCCTTGGTGAGAGCTTCTGCTGTACTTTCCAATGGTCCATTCATACTTAACCTAGACTGTGACCACTATATCTATAACTCCATGGCTATAAGGGAGGGAATATGCTTTATGATGGACCGTGGAGGCGACCGGATCTGCTACGTACAGTTCCCTCAAAGATTCGAGGGCATCGATCCCTCAGATAGATATGCCAACCATAACACTGTCTTCTTTGATGGTCAGTAATAGTATTTTTTTTTATCTTAATGTTGAGATTTGAGAATTCTGTTACAATATGGTATGATTATGTCCCAATATATATATTAACGATGAAAACAACCGACCCATTGGCCATCGATGGTATTTGGGATCTCACCCCAAATAACGGGTTGAGCATACAACTCACCGTTGTAGGTGATGTTCTTACACCTAACAACTTTTGAAAGTACAAAGAAATGCGTGTGAAATAGAACCTTTACTGGAAATGGCAACAATTATCACCATTTGATGTTTCCTACTAAAGTTTCAGTTGAAATAATGCAAAATTTGTTCATTATGCACTCTAGGTAACATGCGAGCTTTGGATGGTCTTCAAGGGCCAGTTTATGTTGGAACTGGCTGCATGTTCCGGCGGTATGCATTATACGGTTTCCACCCCCCACGGGCAAACGAGTACTCAGGCATTATTGGGCAGAACAAGAGCCGCGCTCCCCATATTCAGATGCCATCTGATGCAGAGGACTCGGACACACAGCCCTTAACATCACATCCTGATTTGACCCTGCCAAAGAAATTTGGGAATTCGACCATCTTCACTGACTCTATACCCGTAGCTGAATTCCAAGGACGACCACTAGCTGATCACATCTCTGTGAAAAATGGCCGGCCTCCCGGGGCACTGCTCATTCCACGTCTGCCGCTCGATGCACCAACAGTTGCCGAGGCCATTGCTGTTATCTCCTGCTGGTAATTTCTTACTCAATTTTGTCCTCTTCATTTTTGCAAGCAGTATCAGTTGTTCTAATTGAAAGTGTAAATCACTTTCATTTTGAAAATGGAACTTGTCAGTCCTGTCATAGTACCATGCAAAAGTCTTGGCAATACATTAGCCATGGAACAAGAGCATTTTAAGCTATAATGTCATTTAGAGTCACATGTGAATCAATTACAGAAACTGTAAGAGTGAGTTTTTTTTATGTAGAAAATATTTTCAGGTAAACCAAAGTGATTAATAAACATATTCTTGTTCTCTTGCATACATTTTAGAGAACCATCTGTAATCTTCATCTTTGATAGGAAATTTTTGTAACAGTCTGCCTGTGGACATAGCTTTCGATTTGAACCACATAATTCTGTGTGTATTTTGTGCTTTTCTATTTCGTTTGAATATTTGTTGTGGTATCGTGCATAACAATGTTAATCAAACTGAGCATAATAACCCTGAACTGGGATAATATAAATTGATTGTAACTCCTATGTTTTTACATGAAGCACAGGTACGAGGATAAAACTGAATGGGGAGACAGAGTAGGTTGGATCTATGGATCTGTTACAGAAGACGTGGTGACAGGTTATCGCATGCACAATCGCGGATGGCGATCTGTCTACTGCATCACAAAGCGTGATGCTTTCCGGGGCACTGCACCGATCAACTTAACTGACCGCCTGCACCAGGTCCTCCGATGGGCCACTGGTTCTGTCGAGATTTTCTTCTCTCGAAACAATGCTTTTCTTGCAACCCGACGCCTAAAATTCCTCCAGCGAATAGCTTACCTCAATGTCGGCATCTACCCGTTCACGTCCATCATCCTTGTGGTCTATTGTTTTCTCCCGGCTCTCTGTCTCTTCACTGGACAATTTATTGTGAAGAGCTTAAATGTTACTTTCCTTTTTTACCTTCTTATCATCACTATCACTCTCGCTTGCATCTCCATGCTTGAAGTCAAGTGGTCAGGTATAGGCCTGGAGGAATTGTGGCGAAACGAGCAGTTTTGGGTCATTGGGGGCAGCAGTGCTCACTTTGCTGCAGTACTCCAGGGTCTCCTTAAAGTCATTGCTGGTATCGAAATCTCATTTACGTTAACCTCAAAATCTGCTGCGGAAGATGAAGAAGACATCTATGCTGATCTATATGTTGTCAAATGGACCAGTCTCTTCATAATGCCACTGACCATCATTGTTGTCAATCTTGTTGCTATTATCCTCGGGTTCATGAGAACTGTGTACAGTGTGATTCCTCAATGGAATAAGCTCATGGGTGGGGCTTTCTTCACATTCTGGGTGTTGGCTCACATGTACCCATTTGCTAAGGGATTGATGGGAAGGAGAGGAAAGGTTCCTACAATTGTTTATGTATGGGCAGGGCTTGTTTCCACTACAGTGTCTTTACTTTGGATATCTATCAGTCCCCCAGATGATAACACCACTCAATCTGGAGGGAGCATTCAAGTATAAGGATTGACAGAGCTGAGACTTTTTGCTATGATCAATTGAAACTTTCTTGCACATAAAATGTAGATATGCAATCAAGACTTGTACTTGCTAGGTGGTGCCTCCAGCTTCTATTTGACAAATACCCATTGAATACTTATGTAAGGTACTGAAACTTGAAAGTGCAGGAGATTCATTTAGTATTAGACAGATTTTTGTTTTCTGTTCTCCAAAGGCTGTAAATTTTTTGTTGTTTGTGTGCTAATATAATATCAATAAACAGGTGATGGAAAAGTCCTTACTACTTGCATATCAAAAAAATATTAACAAACTACAACCCTGTTGGGTCAAGTTATCTCAAGTGTTTCAGAAAAGCTATAATTGATCGTTATGTAGAATCAATCCAAGTTTTTGGAATTCACTCAAAGTGGCACACTATTTAACCATAATTTTGGTGAACCACCAATCCAATAATACGTAACCGTGTCGAAGTTCTAATAGGGTGGTGACTCGGAAATTATTCGATGGTGTAAGAAGACCACGTTAGATAGTGATTTAGTGCACCCAACCAATTGGGGAGGACATGGAACCAGACCCGACCTCTCATTTCTTGAGTAGTGAGATCCAACTTTATCCTAACGGTCAGATGATTTTCAAGCAAATAATTGTTCTCAAACAAGATGAAATAGCTATCTTGGAGCAACCTCGAGAGATTTATTCCAATAATAGTCGTATGTTTATTGGGACGGGGGGCTATACATGCTCGAGAACGTTGATCAGCTCTAAGAGACCAAGATACCTCGTAGCTAGAAGATCAAAAAATTTATGAACTGTATCAAATTCAAGTGTTCTGCTTCTCCTGTCATTTAAAAAGCCTCTGTTAATCAAGTTTCTTTCGGTTGGTAAACAATGAACTGGATTAGATGATGTTAATCAAGCTGCCAATCGTAATGCTGCTCAAAACGAGTGTTCATTGACGGCAGGGGAAATAGTTCTAGAAATGAGAGATGAAATAAGCAAAAAGGTTAACTACATTCAAATAGTTTGGCACTGTTCAATTCCAGTTCTTTCAAACAAAAGTGCAAGTACATAGTGCAAACAAAGAAGATAAATTTTCTATATTATTGAATGAGAAAAAGGCACTGTGAATATATCAACTGTGATAGTGACAACTTAAGGGAAGCTTAAGAGAATATAAACATAACTTAGATAACTACAAGCATCACCTTTATACGATTACAAGGCTTGTTTTACATCATAGAAGAAATTCACGAATTCGAATTGGCCTTTTAACTGCATTTGTGAAACCCTGCATAAAAAGAAGAGAATAGAAATCGTTATGAGTGAACATGCGCTTCACCACCACGGGCTTAACCTGGGTAGCTTCAAGTGATGTCAAAAGGCTCACTCTTACTCCCCATGGCTATGCCATGGATTTGAATCCTCACCAAACCAAAAACAAGAAAAAAAAAAACTGGGTTCTTACAATTGTTTACAGCAAAAAATTATCCTAAAATTGGTGCAATTAAGCAAATATGTTCAGAAGGGGAAGCATGAGTGTTACTACGTAACACTAATGAGCTTTCATTGTTTATACCAAAATTTCATCTCAGCAACCAAATATGCTACCTGTTTATCATCCTTTAACATCTAATTGATGGGGATCGGAAAGAAGTTGGAAGAGGATTGGAATTGGATATTAGAATTTGAAAATTCATTTTAAAATTATTTTACTATTTTGGATTTCTTGGATTTTGTATTATGAATCTTGATTAAAGGTTTTGGTATTCACCTAATATAGTAATTGACGTGAAGGTATTCAGACTTCAACATTATTGATAGGGATATTCATCTTCCACTTCAATTTTTTCATCTCTTCTGATTTTTTCTGATTTCTCATCTCTACTTTTCCCCTGAAATTGTTCTTCTCAATCTGCATCACTAATCATTTATAAACTTTTCCGGTAGCTTTTGACAAAATTTTGAGCACATCTAGTGATCCTTACCTGTCGATGTTAATGCAGTGCTCATGTCATTTTTTCTACAAAATCCACTTCATAATCAGGTCCTATGAAATAGGAGCATGTGTATGTATGCATCCAACAACATGCATGATTTGCTTTAGATTTATGATGGTATGATTGTGCTATATACCTCATTAAATTTAAACAGTAAAGGACGTGAATCTCTCTCCATTGTCGTTGGCCTTGACATTGCATCATCAGTATTTTGAGAACCTCTGCTGTTCACCTTTCTAAACCTGGATTCAAACATGAAATCATAGTCACATTCTAAAAGTAATGACTCTTAGGCATGCTTCTTAAATGCCAAAGATACCTTTTCCCAGCAGATAGTGCAAGGTATTTCATTTCATATTATCAGTAAATCGTGACCTAATAATGCGGTGTGTGGAGGCACGAGAGAGAGAGAGAGAGAGAGAGAGAGAGAGAGAGGATTCGCACCAAGACAAAGGACTGAACGAAAATAAATGATGAGTGAAGGACGAGGTGCGCTAAGAGCTTAAAACATATTGTGGGTCTACTCTCTGACAACTTAAGTTTTGATATAATCAGCAATTTACCATAGTATCAAGGTTTCACTTCCTTCCTGTCTAGGGTTCAAATCTCACTGTCTGCACTTGGTACCCTCATCGTGTGCGTGCATATTGACCGATTTGGTCATATATCTCCTCCACGTGTGAGAGACAGTCACACGTGAGTGGTATTTCATATAAGTCATGGACCCATTCTCTAACAACTTAAGCTTTTGAAGTAACTACTAGTTTAACAGTGTGCAAAGACCAAGCAATGTCAAATGCACTACAGCATGTAATTCAAAAACCAAAAAGTAAAATGAAAGCATAAGGAGTGACTGCAATTACTTCCTCAAGTCCAAAGAAATAAGAGTGGGGATGTTATCTGCTAAATTTTTTGGACCAACACTTCACTCTAACATCCTTGTTCAACCTAAGAGAAGCACAAATAATAAATAAATTGACAGCGAATTTCAACACACCGGAAACAAATAGGTCTCGGGAAAAAAATTATCAATTCACCAGATTCGCCCTTTTACTATATGTCGTTGCAAGGACTCTTCTGTCAATTCAAACAAAAAAAAAAAATTATTTTCCTTTGCAGTTCACACTCACATATCTAAAATACTTTTCCAAAGAAATCTCAAAACTTCATTGATGTTCCAACATTCGAAAAAGGAAAGACAAACTAATCAGTTTGATTTGGTGGCATGCATTGAACCAACCAATACCCCATTTAGAACTCAAGAAAAAATACTTAAATCTAAAACTAAATCTCAAATTATGCACAACTTATACAAAGATTATTGATGCAGTCACACGTACAAAATTTATACATCCCTCTTTAATAGGCGCAAGCTGTTGAACCTTTGATAACCCTTTTTAATGGTTGTCAGAGATTCACACCTCACATGTCATCACTAGATTAACTATTTCCATACACCACAACCTGTCAACAGAGGACCAAGCACTCCCTTAATATAAATGACGAGAAAGTCCTATAGAGTTTCCCATGTTGCCAACAATGAAAGATTTATGGTACAGTATAGAGTTCCTTACTTTAACTTTTATAAACATCAAGAAGACATATGCACAATGGAGACATATGCACAATGGAAAGGGCCACTGGTTTATCTCTCCGGCGAATCAAATTGGCCAAAGGTGGAGTAATCTAAAGATTCTAAACCAATATGTTTGCAGACATGCATGGTCTTTCTTCCACCCAAATTTGTTATTTCATGATGCCATCAATAAAAACAAAGAAATGTTGAGGTCATGCTGATAAGAATTCAAAAGTGATTCCAGATAAGAGTGAGACATATCTAAAGTTCTGAAAATGTAGAAGATGGGGGCAGGTATGTACTAAAAAGCTCATGGTTGCAAGTCAATGCATTTGTGTAAGTGTCTATATGAATCTAGCCATCTACATTTTGTAGATGACCATGAACTAATTCAGCTGAATATTAGTTCATCTAGCTGGAAATTTTTAAGTCCTGAAGGAAATAAAAAATTAGAGGTTTCATAGTTCTGTTTGAGTCAGGTATTCAAATTCAAAGTAGCTCCCAATTATAAAATGGCAACAAACAAATAATAATGCAGCAATAACTGAATGTAGAAGCTATATTCAACCTGTCAAAGAAACTAGAAGAGTCGGTATATCGCTTCTTTTTCTTTTCAGAGGATTTTAGTATCACACTGGCTGTGGAAGTTCGATTACAATCTGAAGTTGATGTATTAGAAGTAGTAGTCAATCCACAATGCTGCGGGATTAACGGATTCTTTGTGTTTGTCATCTTCCCAGCAGATGTGGTTGCACTATCAGATCTGGAAGGTGTTCTGCCCATTTTGCCCCCTGCCATAGCCTGGTTTTTCTTGTTACATACATCAGGAGGGTGCACAGATCTGTTGATGCTGCCTTGCAAAATCTTTTGCTTTTCCACCTATAATTATGTACTTCAATGCATGAGACTAATTTGATGCCAAATAAAAATCTACAAAAATTGTTTGGAATACAGCAGCTCCATAATGACAAAGGTCATCTAGAAAATTGAACAAGATCGACAAAAAGAAATTAACAAATCATCATCTATAACAAAAAGAAAAAAAAAATCATGTACCCTTCCACTCATGCATTTATGACAAGTTGTTACGACAGAGGATGACACAGACCAATAACCAACAAAAAAAGAAAGTGGGGAAAGACATACTTGTGTCAAATGGCATCTGCACCTGTACATCTCAGGGAAACAACAATACACAACAAGAAAACCTTATTGAGGATCAACACATCTAGCTAAGGCTTTATGTGCTTATATATAAATGTAAACTTGCACACCACGGCATGCAGTGAGAAGGGGAACAAGGAAAATTTCCCCACAAAAGCTTATATTCCTCAAGGTTCATTAAACTTGTCCTAACATTTTAAGCCATGGATTACAATACAGGCGAATTACGCATTCTTTTTGAGTATAAAAGGTGGTATTCTCATGTAATTAAATATTCAAAAGTAATGGTATTCTTCTATGTACTAATGATTTCTCCTAGAAAGCTTATTCCAGCTTCATGAAGTAAAGGCACTGACAAGGTATTGTTGATAACTATGGCTACTGGGTATCCAAAATAGTCACCTAAAGCCCAATAAGCAGCAGGTGCAGGTAGAATTTTCCCAAAAAATGTGGAAGATGGATACATGTTACTTGTTAGTGTGTCAGATAAATGATGAGAAAATACATAAAACCAAGTCATCCTTGTTTATTAATATGCCCCTCCAGTTCTGTTACGAAAATTGATTGTAATTGGCAAATTCCGTGAGGTCACTTGAACTTGAATTTCAACTAAATTCATGGTCATTATGTTTATGAAGATTGAAAAACAAAGCAAGATGTGATGGAGAAGTCCAAGCTACATTGCAACATGCGAAAACTTCTTTGAAGCCATCAAGTTTAGGTGAGGTATGAGACCTAGTTGCCTTAAAATGGTTAAACTAGGTGAATAAAATGGTTTTAGATGTTAAGTATAAAAAATGGTAGCATGAATCCCGTATTTATGAGATAAACATTTTTGAAACTTTGAGGGTTGGTTTTAAGAGTCATGGCATAGAGGCTTTTTAAATATCACCCATTGGTATTTCAAAGGTTGAAGATAGCATTGGTTTTATGTTGAGAAATCAGTGAACGTTGTTCTCCAAGAGCTCTAGCGGTTGAGGAAAATAAATTGGGGTTAAAATTTCGAAACAGTGGTCAGCATTCACTGACCGGTCGAGTGTGCCACTATTCACACTGGGAACAATTCTTTTCCAATATGCAATGCTCTCTCACTGCTCTCTGAGCGCTCGAGCGGTCCTTCGGGAAACTGAACAACTTGTTTCCCAATTAAACCCTATTTTCTCCACCTATATATATGGGACGTCTTTATTCTTCGATAGAGAGACTATAGGATTTAAAGAGAGGCTAGAAAGAGATTCATAAGGCTTACCTTAGCATTCCATATCAAACTCCAATCCATCATTTGGGCTCATAATAAATTAAAATCCCAAATTGATTAATCTAGATTTTCTTAATGAAATCAACCTAGGCTTTGAGAATGTTTTTAGAACATTCAAAATCTGCAAAGTAAAGGATCGAATTAGGATTCCAAGCATCAAAGGAAGATTCTAATAGGAGAAGATGGAGGATTCCAAGGGCCAATTGTGGAGCTCAATTCGTCACCTATTGAAGCTAGTCGTCAAGATCTTACAAAATCTAACCATGGGAGGTATAAGTCTTTGATCTTTTAATAACTTGGATTTTTGCTCTTTTAGGTAGATTCCTATTATTTATGTACACTTCTTATTTCTTTCAATGAAATGAAAGTGTTGTTTCTTACCAAAAAAAACAACTTTGAGGCTAGTGGATTAGGTTAGGTGGACTACAGTCCCATGGCTTTTTCCGAGAAGGTTTCCTCGCAAATTTTTTGTGTTGTGTTTGTGATCGACTTTTCCGTATCTTTTTTACATACATGCAATTTTATATTCCCCGTACGCATAATTGATTAAATTCTTGTGAATCATCTTGCTGGTGTTGGCCAATATATTTGTATTAAAGGGTGTTGGGATTTGGGAATTTTGCTTAAATTCCTAAATTGGTAGATTAGGTTTGGTAAATTTGGGGGTTTTGTGTTGATTGTTTAATTAATTGATAATCGAATGGATTAGGTTCTAATTGGTATTAATTCCGCATTTAAGTGCTAAGACATATTCACCCCCCTCTAGGTCAATATGTCTAAGTCCAGTGTGTCAGGGACAATCCTCAACCACACTCTCAAATTCAAATAAAAAATATCCAAACAAGCGATGCCTAATACTAGGGCACAACTTGATAATCTACTATTTCAGACTCCAGAGAATCCAGATATTTTGTCAAGTGTTTTGCAAGGGAATGTTAGAGAGATTCTTCATTTTGTGTAATACACACCACATACAAAAGATAAAAAGATCACCTAAAGAATGAACCCCATAACGAAAGGTAATTTAAAGAAGATAACTATTCATTAACTCTTATCCATGCATCCCAGCAAATGGGAATAAACAATGACTGTCAGTTCGCATCAAATCCACATTGGAGACTAACTCAAACTATACAGGATATCGAGATAATTTTGACCTATATGACTGACCAACAACAAATCAATATTTTCTAGTTCTTATTTTATTAATGATAGAACTTCATGTTCACTGCTTTTGTAACTTTCTCTCTTAAAAATAAAATTTTCGTTTCTTAACAAGAAAAAATCTCATAGCTAACAGAGCGCCCTTTCACACAAACAGTATTTCTTCAAAAGTTGAATAATTTAGCACCCCTTACAAAATGCATCCCTTACCTCATGCACCAAGACCTGCTTCACAGCTGAAGCCAACACAAAATGACCAGATTTATAGCCCTGTTTAACACCAAAAATAGGCATTTAGAAGATATAATAGACCTTATTTGAAATTTGAGTAGGCAAAACCAACAACACTAACCTGGAAGTTTATAAAATCACTTATTGGGGGATCAAATGAAAGAGCCGAAGCATCTAAATCAACTTCATGTCTCAGTGTACTGTGTAAAGGATTAGATTTTACATTCTTATAAGTTATAGCATACGACACCATAAAATTTACTAACTGGACCAGATCATTCTTCTCTTTCTCTGAAAGTAAATGCAATGCCACCTGAGAAAAGACATCGAACTGTTTCAGAACCATAGCGACAAGCAGAATTCCAGTTTCATCAAAGTAGAACAAGAGAGAGAGAGAGATTGAAACGTACAAGGAGGATGCAGTCCTAATGAGTAACTGGAAGCAACCTAACAATGACAATGGTAGCACTTGGTCTAATCCTAGCGACCAAATCATTCACCAGTTATAATTTCCCAGTACATTAGGTTTATTTTCATATTTGATCAGATTTTGCAGTAGCTATAGATGCTCTTTGAATTATTATAAATGAATTCTCCCAAGTTCTCCAAGGTAAGGTTTATAAGCTTCAAAGATATGTATGCCTATTTTTTATCATAGATATATCCAACTAGGTTGCCCAAACTAAATGATATTTTCCAGTTGCAAAAGCAAGCCTTGTTTATGTCCAAAAATATGTTGCATTTATAATATATGGGCTCATTAGAAGTGTCAACGGGTAAACAAGTTACTAGATCTATAAACACAGAAAAATGGCTAAATAATTAACATATTTGACTATTCAATGTGGGATGCTAGAAAGTTGCTTTTCACCTCTCCCACTCTTCCATTTTCTTCTCGTCTCCCTCTCGTTATTACTGTCTCTAAAATTCTGTTCCTTCTCCTGAGTTCTCTCACTTTCTTAGCTTCTCTTTTTCCTAATGAGCAATCATCTACCTACTTTAACTAACCCCAGTGGAAGCTTCAGTAAAAGTGGTAACAGAACCTAAGTTATATCATCAACTAGAAAACAATCAATTCCATGTCATTACACCAAAAAGGTATTTGGAGGAGCGAATTGTTAAAGCATCCAACCCAAAACCAATTATCAATTATCAATGTGTGGAGATGCCCTTTAAGCAAATAAACCGACTTTGGGCGGTCCTAGTCACTCAATGTGGGATACAACCTCTCTTTACCCTATCCCTCACGTGGGATCTAGGCTCATACATTGGGCTAACAAACAAACATGCATACTGAGAAATTCAAACGGGTAACGACCTTAACCCCCTAACTACCCAAGTCCCAACTTTAATACAATGTCAGAGCAACTGACCCAAAATCAATTGGCAATGAGTGGAGAAGCCCTTAAACATATAAATCAACCTTGGGTGGTCTTGGTCATTCGATGTGGGATACAAGCTCTCTTCACACAACCAAGCTACTTTTTCATGGTGTTGCTATTTGCACTCGGCAATCATTATTATCTGTGTGTCTCCCAGCTCTTCTCTGCCATCCCTTATTATCTCTCAGCAAAACAGAATTTCCATGTAACTATGATGGATCAGTCACTCCATCTCTAACATTTCCTAACAAGTTTCTTCATAGAAAGTCTAATCTTTTTACTTGAGAATTCACAGATTTACTTCTCTCATTTAGAGAAACATTATTTTTCATGGAGTCATTTTTTCAACTCATACTATATGTTAAGTCCTGATTAAGCATTTATGTTCTTGTTCAATTTTAACGACTTTGAACTTGCATGGAAGGTTCTAGTGGTCTTGGAATGTGGAATTAGGGTTTTGTAATGTAAAATGTTTCTAGTTCTTTCCTCTTTGTCTGAAGAACCATTTTCACTTTTTCTTTTTAATATATGTCATACAAGCTGTAGACAATTTCAAGCACCGATATTATACAAGAAACTATTCCCAGTCCATGTGTGTGTGTGTGTGTGTCTATATATATATATGATACATATTGGGATCCCAGAGTCCCAAGTATCCATTTGAGAGATCTGGAGCTTCATATATTAATAAAGACGTAAACTTGTTTCCTTTGTCCACGTTTTTTTAAAATTTGAGACTTTATCGTAAGAATCAATTAAAATCAGTAATTTACAAGCATATTACCTGGGTGTGACGATTTTGGGATAAATACCTAATGGGAGTTTATCAAAACCTAGTAGCTCCAAAAATTGGAAAAAAAAAACATTGCTCATAATCAAAAGATAATAAAGATAATAAAGCTAAGCCATTGTTCATCACATGCATAGACAATTATAATCCATGACCAAATATAGATATAAAAAAAATGACACCCAACGGTTAAAGTACTACCATTTCTGTAAAGATAGAAAATGGACTATTCTACTATTTTTCCAATTGATTCTGTACGAACTTGAATCTTTGCCATGAATCACTGTTGTCACCATCTTGCCACCCAATGTCAAGTTCTTTCTGTCTGCTCTAACTAAAAACATCAGCTCAATCAGATGGGTGAATAGTGAGTAAACCTCTCTCCTCTCCTTTTTGATGCTCCAGATTTGTTGACAACAATAAAAGATTTCTAGATTTTTACGCTATTTTGAGGAACTCTTCTGGCTACTGCATGTTTTTAGGTCATTCAAGGACAAATCAGGAGATGTTCTTCTTCATTGAATATTAGCTATTTCAGTTTTGTTAGCTGTGTTAGTTTTTTCTACAAATTGTCAGCTCAAGGCCCCACACAGATTGGAACAAAGGGAGCAAGTAGAGGGCAGGGTGGGGAATAGTTTGGAATGGTTTTCGCAATCATGAAAAGTACCAAATGGAGAACACCTCACTATTATGGGGAAAGGACAGCCATAAAATGCCCACAAACCAGTTAGGTTTGGAGGCATACTGCACCTGCCTCAAATCATCCCTCGTCATAGATTTATAACATTATATATAAACAGAATCATCAGCAAGCATCAACTGAACACGAAGGCATAATGCAGGTAAATTACCGGCCTTAGAGTTGGTGGTGACAAAAGATGTAACAATGGAGAAATCAAGTCTTCTACAAAGGACTTAGTTGACAGATGCCTTGAGATGTATGGTGATATTTTGTAGTGCCATGAATGAAATATCTCTATCCTTTCCACCAAGCTTGTTCGGTATCTGTGAGTTCAAAGTAAGATAGAATTATAAGATACAATGCTCACATTAGACTTCACGATGTAGATGTAGATGGATTAGGGATACCTTTGGAAAGATTTGGGCCATCCAATATTTGGTCTTTCAACTTGAGCTATTAGACCATGTACAGCAATTGCAATAGAAGGCTGATAAACTACAAAAAGTAAACAGGGATAGGAAGATCTTGAGTTGAGATTTATACCTATTAAAGGGTCAATGTCTGCCGATAGTAGGATTTTATACCTTGTAAAGACATCTGCTGCGTGCGCATAATGTACTGGTGAATCATATCAGAAACCCCAAGATTATGCAAGCATTTGACCTTCAAGATATAGGATATGTTAAACAAAGGTCTAATACACATGGGGGCAACAGTGTCTAGGCAATTAGGACTTACTGTCTTTCGCATAAGTGGATCATGATAATGGAGCTGCAAAATATTTTCGTGGATCCCATCTAAAATTAAGTCGTAGTCGCCACTGGATGGTCAAAGAACATTAAGACAGACGATCCATCACTTGGAACAATGTACATATCATGGTCTGCTATGTAAGCCTCAACCTACCGGTTAGATATCAGATTGTGCAGAAATTCAAATTCATTGGACATGCTGCTGCTGCCATTACCAGATATCCTTTCCTGCTTCACTCTTCTCTTTTGAAAAATCTTTAATGACAAGAAAATTGTGACCATAGAGTAAGGATTCTGAAAAAGAATAATCAAGGAATTTAAGTACAAGTGACAGATACAACTACAACACCTTACCTCTTTCCATACGTCGAAAACACTTTTTGATGTGTCCTTTCGGCCAACCAATTGAGAACTGATCTCCAACTAATAGCCAGGAGAACAAATCAATCAATTAAATTGGAAAGAAAGCACTCAAAAGAATTACCCTCTTGATAAAATGGTATAGAACCCTTTATAGTTAATTGAATAGAGGAAGGTGACTTCTAAAACCCCACCACCCAAATGTGACAGTAAATGTTTTCTATAAGATTCATAACAACGCATGACCCTACATCTGATTATGCGAGGGCTTAACACCGCTGGGTCAAAGCAATTCCCTTTCCTAGTAAACTTAAAGTCGTAAAAAAATCATATAATGCAGTCAAAATCTTAAAACACTAATTAAACCAGCAACTCAACATCTAATAAACGCGACAGTTTTAGCAAACATCTTTTCTGCCGAGGAATAGGATAATATAAGTCTAACAAAGTTTTTGAAAGTCTCTTTATAAGCCACCATGAGATGACTAGATATACAGGACACTTCAACCCCCTTAAAGAACATTAAGTATGTGGGAGGGTAGCATACGGATAAGTTATCATTTTCCTTTATGTTATCATGCAGTTGCAGAGGGCTGATTTCCATCCTCTACAACAAAGGTATTTGTTTCCAACAAGCAAGAAACCTACCAACAAAACTGTATACTGTTATAACTTATAATCACCTAAATATGGGGACCTGCATAACCTCCTCTTTCATCTGGGGAGATTTATTTGGAAATAACAAATAAGGAAGAACGTATCTTGGTAATATCATACCACTTTGAGGTTTTCCTTCTTCTTATTGAGGAACTGAAGAGTGTTCAAACATGCACGTATGTCACATTCTGTAAAACAAAAGAAAGGGAATTAAGGCCGGAATCTGAATATCGGGAACTTATCCGCTTTCAAAAAATTCAAGTCGGTGTCAGGAACATATTTATCTGCAGGCAACAGGTTTTCGACCAACCAATCAGGTATAAAGTGAGAAAAAAGCAGAATATTGCACATAAGTCAAAGTCAACCAGTATATAGAGGGAAAAAAACAAACGAACTACACTCAACTCCATATCAATCAAAAAAGCAATCATTCCCATATCATTGAACTTTTAAAAATTGCTTGCTTCAGCCCTCTTCTGCGTATGGGGGGGCCTTATGCACTGCCAGCAACAAAACCCTAATAGTACTTGTTCATGAAATAGTTATAGATATGAGATAAAATAACCTACATTTCAAAAACCTTCGGGAAAGTGAAAAACCCATCAAAATCAGCATAGAATATGATAAGGTAACAGGTATTCCAAGCAACTGATAATGAAACCATATGCGACGGCAAACTTATGGATCTTATACTTCCAGCACAAACACTCGTGCACTTGTGCCTTTAACTTGACACATTACTTCTAGTTTAAATTGCAAAGGTTGAAGGGAAGTTGTCAAGGTGTATAATGCAAAATAGCATGAAGGAAGACAAATGTAGAAATGAATCGAAAAAGGCCATTAATAGGTGAAAAGATGAAACCATAAATTTATATGACATCTTAGTTGACCATGAAGGGGCAACCTTGCACCCATGGATAAAAATCTTCCTAAGCACAAAGAAAACCATGACTTAGAAAAATAAGTCACGAACCCATAATTTATCATACTCAAGTCAATTTTCATATTTTCAAGGAGTCTTTGTTTTTAGTTTGGTTTTAGGGGTATTTTGCTGGTAAGAGTTTTCAATGCCATCTTGCCTTTTGGATGGTGACAGATAACATTCGATATCTTGTACTAAGCTTTTGCACTATGAAAAGGTGGCTGGTTGTCTAAGATTTCAGAGAAAGGTTTACACAGTATATAATGGTTTGTGAAACAATTAACTTTTACACACTCCTTGGATAACTGTGTATGTTTTCATCCAAGAAACCTGGATTTAGTGGAAAAAAACATCCAGGAGGTAAAAAACCCTTAGTGGAGGAGACATTCTTACCAGTATACCCTGCAAGTGCAGTGAGGGCGATGGAACTTGTCTTCAGGCCTTCTTTGTTAGATATGTATTTGAGCCTACAATAACCATATTTCAACAAACCAAGGTCGCACAGTTAGAATTAGAAAAATATTAGCATCAAATATGGTTTCAGGTATCAGCCAAGACATCACCAGAGATGAATAGTGTGATATTGCCATTAAATAAATGCATGGCCTCATGCAAGGCTACAACGAATTATATCACTTAACAATACAATTATATGCTTCAAAGCAAATTAAGTGACTACCATTTGCCCAGTGTTGGTCCCTCCAATATATCATATGAGAGGCAGACTCGATACAGAGCTTTTATTTGCACCAAACCATCATAAGTGATTGAGATTATTCAAATCAATTAATTTTAAGGTTCTATTGCAACTTACAGTCCATACATATACATTTACTAGCAATGCACCACTTGCTTTGCACGTAGATAGTTTTCATACAAAAAATTAATAAAAAATACTAGGTATTTGCGTACCTTAATTAAATATTATCTCAAGTTTATCAAACTTATTTTTTCATCATTCATACTCTGCTATAGAATTATACAAATCTTTGTATGTTCCCAAAGTTGGTTGTTCTAACTATAAGAAAAAATATTTTTTTTAAAAAAAAATAGTTAAAGTTCTATTTTCAGAATTTTGTAATCAAGATTAATTTATTAGTGATGTTTGAAAAATTAAATTTTTTGAAATTCTTTTGATTAGAATTTCACTTACAATTCATTGAATAAAATAAAAGTAATTGATCATAGTTATTAGTATCGTACGATATGCAATACATATCGTACGATACGTTACGATACACCTAAAAAAACGATACATATCGTATCTCTGTATCGTTTTTGCACTATATCGTATGATACATGATACAACACATCCGCTACGTAACGATTCTTTTTTTTTTTTTTTTGGACTAAAATAACATTATTTTACCCAAAGACTTATTTTTAAATCTCTAACAAGTGAAATAACGTCATTTCACTGGTTATAGTTTAAAAAAATAAAATAAAGTCTCCTGTTAATGTTGTTCAATTGAATTCAAAACTCCTAATTAATATTAAGATTGTTCAAGCAATTGATGTTCAATTGAATTCAAAATTTCTAATTAATATTAAGATCGTGATATTACTAAAGTATGTTGGGAACTTGAATAGTTGGTGGAATATTAATGAAATGTTATGTTAATATGAGTCTATAATTTTTTTACAAAGGTTATATTTTATTAATAATTATTTAAAAATTAAAATTGTGCGTATCTTACGATATATAATACGATACAATATATTATTTTTAAAAAACGATACGCCTCCCGATACGCAATTTGACAACTATAATTATCAATATGCTAATCATATTATAACCTAACTATAATTAGAAATTATTTAGATCCATTGGGATAAGATTTAATATACTACTCCATAATATATATTATAAAGCTTGTTAAAATTCTAAGTTTTAATTAAGAATACAAGGCATAATATTATTTTTACATATGATACGATAATATTAAATTGATGAAATTTTTAAAACTTTTTTGAAGACTTTATTCTAAATTATAATGATGCATATATTTTTTAAGGGTGATATAGTCAATTAAAAGATTTACAGAAACTAATATTTATACATAGAGAATAGATAATTAAGAAAGATGTTACAAGTAATTTGGATATTTAAATACATAAAATATAATGATAATTTAGATATTTAACTGTAGAAGTATAGACTGGCTTTTGCAATTCTTTATAAGGGTAAAATAAAAATTCAAAAATTTTTTATATTAAGGTATTTTTATTAGTAATTACTAGTAATGCACCACATGCGTTGTACGTGAATAATTTTTGTATACAAAAAGTTAATAAAAAACTTTAGGTATATGTGCATCTATAATAAATACCATATCAAGTTTGTCAAACTTATGTTTTTATCGCTCATATTATATTATAGAATTATAAAAATTTTATCTATTTCCAATAATTCATTGTTCTAACCGTAAGAAAAAAGATTGAAAAAATAGTTATAAATAATTCATTTAAAATTTATTTGATTAGGATTCATTTTATAATTCATTGAATAACATAAAAATAATTGTCGATATTCTAATCATATTAGAAACTTACTATAATTAAGAATTAGTTAAGTCAATTGTGATAAAACATAATATACTACTCTGTACTGTATATTTTAAAGAATATTAAAATTCTAAAAATTCAAGTTTTACTTTAAAGTACAATATAATCTATCTTTACATAAACTCTTAATACAACTTCAAAATTTTAGTGTTATTGAAAAATTTTATTGGTGCAACATAAAATAATTTAAAAAACTATATATATAAGATTATTTTTTATATTAAATATTAAAGGGTTGAACTTTTGAATGAAAAAAAAACACACATATGTAGGCATAATGTTATCTTTATATTTGAAATGAGTAATGATAATGTTAGATTATTTTCTATAGTTGACTAATTTCTTAGAGTCCTTTGTAAATCTCAACTTATTTCATGGTCATGATCCTACAACGATGAATATCCAACAACATTAATTGAAGGAATGAGATCATGCATCAAAGTTAAATCAAAAGCACTTCATATGCACATTCTTGATTAGGACAAGGTAATGACCTATAGATCTAAGATGATCTCTTGGTTTAATAGATTTAAAAGGATTAGTGTTATAATGGAATCAATATTAGATCTGAGAATGGCTCCTAGGTGTTCTTCAAAAGAAAAGTTTTTTAAACCTTTTGTGTGTTTTGAAAACATAGGCATGAGCCATCATCGGATCCCTCTTGAACAACACTTTTTAGTATTCAAAAGGACAAGTTTTTTTGCTCGATTTTAGGTTTAAAAAACTAGTAGTTATGTTTGCTAGAACATTCCCTTCATGACTTAGGAAAATATCAGGTAAAGACTAGACGGAGGATAGTAGGGGTCGCCCTCAGAGGTTGCTCGAGTGGTCTCAGAGGTCGCTCAAGCGGTCTCAAAAGTCGTTCAAGCAGTCCTGCTCTCTAAGGTTGATTCGAAATTCATTTTTTATTTCAGTGACCACGTCCTATGACCGCCCTCCCACAGCTCGGGCAGTCGTCCACGAATGTGTTTCTTATTGACCAAGATTGGTCATACTCCATACCTAAAAATAGAGAAAGTCTTTCATACACCTAGAGCAAGCCTCCTGTGAATATTTCGAGAGAGAAATTGTATCTTCTACCTAGAGAGCTTCTACCACAACACTATATCCCTAAGACCCAAGGCTACCATCTAGTGATTCTTATCCAACCTCACAGCTTAAGGAAGATCTTAATCAGTTGAAGACTAAACCCATTAGAGTGTGCATACCGAGGATCGTTGGTGTGCCCAAGATTACTCAAGGCCTAGAAGATCCATTGCGGTAGAGAATTCAAGTAAAGCTATTCAAAACATATATGGGTGTATTAAGTTAAGAGACTTATTGAAGGACAGGAACGTCTAATCATAGTATTGGTTGAGGTACAAGACTCAAATACTTATAAACTAATTTTGGGATAGTCGATTAGGCTTTGGTGAACCAAGAAGGTTCCCGCGATTTTCCAAAGGAGGATTTTGTATCAATAAATCACTTGTATTATTTATTGTTGGTCACACTCCATAG